CTGTTTTTGCCTTCAGATCGCAGGCATACTTTCACGCTATCAGTCTCATCTTACGTCCGTTGTCTGCATTTGATTGGTTCCTCATTTGTTCCCTTCTTATTGGCTTTAATTGTCCGCATGCTGTCCGCACTCTGATTGGCTTTCATATTTATGCGTTACACAATTTATGGAACTGGTTTCCCTACGTCAAAAAACCCTTAAATCTCTGTCCCTGGTCGGTCGTGTTCTCACTACCGTTAGGAGGTGAAAGCAGTCGCCGAGCACCTACACAATGAAATTTCTGGCGAGGGGAGGTGTTGCACAATCCTACCTATTTCATTCGAACAGATGCAGTCCCTCCTCCAGCAGCAGTAATTACCTTCTGCAAATTCTCAACGGCAGTTAACTGAGTTGTCAGAAAAACTTCACCTCCAAATGGATTGGAAACCGGAAAGCAGGTTGACATCACATGAAACTGAATCTGAATGCTATAGGCTGCTCATTTTGAACAATGTCACAAAAATGATTGCAGTTTCAGATTTCAGAACCGAATCTCAATCGTGTCATACAGTTATTCGTGGCCAACATTTGAGCTGTGATGTGCCGGACAGGAAGCCCGCAACAGCATTTTGAAACGGTGGTGATCGGCAGCCATTGAGAGATTGCGCCTACAAAATTCCTCACTATCAGAAAGCACGCAACTTCAGGTGCGTGAGTACTCCAAGGGTTGAGGCATGCTTAAAACTGAAAAGGTCCAGATTCTCCGATGTATCAAGATTTGCAGGGAAGTGAAGCCGCCTGACAATGAAACGCAGTTATGTTCCCATGTCTCTACAGCCAAAAACAGCTTCCTCTATTACGACAGGTTCACAATCGATAAGGACAAAAATTGACAAGATGTCGTTCAAATTAACCAAACTCATGGCCCAAAATACACCAGGGGTATAGCTACAGCCAGGCTGATGAATGGCCTGTGACCAAAGACAAAGAAAAGCAACAACACAACAATATCTGAGCGACCAACTCACTGAAATTTATCTTTGGAGTAAAGACTGGATTGTTGCTGTGTAGCCAAGATTCAGTTGAGATTGATAGAGATTGTGCCGTCTGTTGATATGTTGGCCACTGACAGTTTCTTGAAGAGTTGTAGGTTTTGCCACGGCTGCACTTGTCTATGCAGGTCCAGTTGACATTCTACATTTTAACTCATCCTATCATATGTTTTGGTTATCGCTTTCTTCTCAAAAAGGCCTATGGAAAGTATCACGGATTTGGCCGCCAACAGTAACTCTTAAGCCAACCATGCTTTGTACATGTTGCTGGCAAGTGAATTGCTGCGCACAGACTCTCGAATAATTTCCTCCTGTTTTCTAAGAAGAGTGGTGCTGTTTACGCAGACTGAAGCACCGCATTCATCAGATTGGGATAGTGCCTCTTGTAGTTGTGTGGAACTGGAGTTCCTGTCAGCCGTTGTGCAATGATTTTGTCAAAAATGTGGCACTTTGCTCCCTGTCGCGTGCCTCTGCTTCACTGAAGTGGGAATTTGAAGTCCGAGAACTTCGTAAAAAGGTAGCATCCGTTTAACAAACAAGTTGAGAAGTTTTTCACCATTTCCGTTTTCCTACGGACTTTTATTCTAGAAATGGGATAAAATGCACTCACTCCATTTGGGAAGTTGCGGAGTCGATTCGGTAACACTGGAACTGCCTGTGTTTCCTCAGCAAAACTCAGTGACACACAAAGAAATCGGAGTTCGCTCGAATACACTGAATTTACTAGACCCGTATCAAGCTCCAGTGTTGTTGACTTAGCCAAACAGGCTATTACTTCACAGATAGAGTGGTTGCGGCCGTATAACAGCTTTCCCCTTGTGGCACTAGATCGTGATTTAGCCAGATTTGTACACATAACGTATTAGTCCTGTGGTTGCTTCTTGTGAACGTCGGACTTATGATACTGATTTTTTACCGTGGTTGACGATTTGGTGGGCTATAGAAGCTGAGACACCCCAGTTTACTCATACTGATACCGGAATCGTACGTGTTCTACCAAGCATTTACATGTAGACGGAGGCACTTGCGATGCTCGGCTTTCTTGATGGCTAGTTGACACTGTCTTTGGGCCGCCAACATCGTCATAGGCTTAGTGTGCCTTGCATGTCTGGTAACGCAGTAGTCAGGAATGGTCGATAATTGTCAATTTAAGAGAGTGAGCCAAGGGATATGAAGAAGTTGACGCTGCAGTGCGCTTTGTGTGGCTGTCTTAAACGCACAGCTCGATGTGACCTTTGGGGTAATAGCGTGAACATATTGCTCCTAAGTAACCAACCAGTGGGTTCAGCAAGTGCTCGAATGCCTCCGTCAGTCTGTTGCCATTCTTCAGGACCACAGCTAAACGGTTTACAACTCGAATGGTCCTGTGTGAAGAGAACAAAAAAGGCATCGACAACACTTAATTGTTTATGCGCCCATTGTACCGCTATCGGTTTACTTATAAAGTGCGATGAGCTAATACATTTGGACTGCGTTATCCTCTTTCCAAACCCTTTACCGGGTATTTCTAAATGGCATACACGGTCTCTTTGAATCATATTTGATGCTACTGGCATGTACTTTTCTAACCTCATAACGAATAGGAAAACCATTGCAATTCCTAGGATTAACCCTGTAATTATACCTGATGTCGGTCACGATTTCTTAGTGTCTGTCTGCTTGCGCTTGTGCTGAGACGGATATACGCGCGCAACGTTGGAAGGCGGAGGAATCTGCGTGCGCCTGCGTAGGTGAGACCGTGAGAACTGCATATTGACGTAAAGAGTACTGGATGCTATTGATGAACAGACCGAACCGTTGCCTACAGTTTGGTAAGTGATCCAAAGTCGACAAGGTTGTATGCAAGGGATTTATCTGTTAGAGCGGTCAGAATTGCTGGAAGCGTGGATCATAAAACTCATTCCATGCACTAGTGCTCGGCAAATAGAGAGGTTTAGTGCACCGTCGAAAGATGGAGAAGAGTAATTCCGCGGAGGGGGAACGCTCAAAATAAATGTCGCCTCACATCATGATAACGGTTGCACGTAAATAGGCGATGTCCGTTGTTGTCTTCGTCTACTAATGATCCACTGGAGGCAACAAGTAATGCTTTGTGATGGTTGGATTGGTGTAGTTCGAAACATTACATAGCGTCTTTGACGGATTGATAGCACCAATTGCTCACCACAGGACCCTAGTTAAATAGGCACAAATGCTCTTACGGCTGGTCGTAGTCGCAGTAGGGTAGTATATTGCAGTTGAGACACGCAGCTAACTCACTATAGATGTTTAACTGTTGCGTAGGACATTTCACAGGCAAATCCCAGCGCTCAGCACAGTAGCCGGCTCAAGCTGGACTTTACTCCCCACCTCCCACTGTGTTTTGGATCAGACTGTTAGGCCAAAAATAAGAAGCAGGGTCCTTGTACCAAAACCATCTTGGAATAATTATTCGTAGAATGTTAATTTCTAAAGTGACACCGATGTCAATGTACAACCTCTGGAATTCGTTGCGCGGTGCGCTTATCTGAGTAGATCTACGCTCTGGTGGTCGCAAAACAAAGAGTTTACACACACTGTTAAGACTGTCGTGGTTTTTTGGAACCTCAGTCTTTTCTTGAGATTGCTGAATGTGATCGTATCGATCCAGAGAATCATTTACAATGCCGCAGTAAACTGTGTTGATGCACTGGTTAGATACCTGCTGGCTGTGCGTTAACGATATGACGAGTCTGATTGCCTATGACCACATTCAGTGGCGAAGCATCGATCAAATAATGTCGTGGGAATGTTTGAGTGCCATAAATATTTTAGAATAAACTCGGATATAACAAGGAAAGTATAAGCTCGGAAGGTTTTGAAGCAGAAATTGGTTAAGGCTTGTGATTCAAAAGCTTCTTAGTTTATGAATTCCCAGTCGGTTACATGTTTATTCAGACGTGGAATTGCTTTATAGACGACCCGTTCGATAAGCCGCAATACAAGCCTTAAAAAAACTGAATTATCCTTCAAAACCTTCCGAGATTATGAGCATTATGAGATTGCCTACTTGATGCTTGGCAACAGTCCGTCTAATTAATGCTCCACTGTGGTGTTCGTTAAAACCGAGTCGCTTCTATTGGCCCTTTCATGTACTCTACGTGTCCACAAGGTCGCTGCCTCGACGTTGTCTGCGAATACTACAGTTATTAGGCCAAAATCCCAAAAGTTAATCGGTCAAGGACATGGAAAATAAATCACGTAGAAATCTACATAAAGGCTAAAACTTTTTAGCTTGTACCCTCTTCTGATTTAGGGGCTCGCCATCGGACATGTCATAAGTATGGGCTCTATAGGACACAGCATATGCAGAAAGTCACTGTCGCAAAAAAACTAGCTGCCATAATACATAGCAGCTTGTATTTCGTAACATAAGTTTGTAAACAGATGAAGAAGAACCTTTCAGAAATGTTAGCAATTAACTGAAGGTCAGTAGCCAAAGGTGATGCGTACAAGTGCTGGAGTAGGTCCGAAATGCAGAGCGCTAGTTGAGGGGACTTAACTTACCACCATGGCGCACTGATGGTTATCGATCTCCAAAGCGAATGTAAGCAACTTATTGTCGTACGTGTTGTGGTAATGGAAGAATTATTATGTAGAGGCACGATACCACCATTAACACAAATAAATCGACAATAAAGTAATAAAGTGGCGGAAGTATTCTGCGGAAAATGAACTCTAACATTGGAAAACGTATGTACAACATGTTTGTGTGAAGCACAGCGACATCTATAAACCGTCCGGTCCTCTCGGAGTGTTTTCGTACAGCGAGCGGTATAAACGAGTGAACTTCACCTTGTGAAAACGCACACTATTTTAGTCAACATCCATGGGGGTTAGGGTGTTTTAATCGATCTGTTTGGCTCTTTAATTCTTATGGCTAATTGGGCGTGGCAATGGAATAATTTACCAGTGTATTGACAGATGGTCGAATCGAAAATCGGGACTCACAATATTTATTCCGTGGAACTCTCGGTCCGTCAACGGTAACCTTGATGGCTCGGGAGTAAATAGCCACAAGAGGAGGCGTTGTCTCAATTGTTATGGTAATGTTGAATGATTTACCTAAGAAAAGAAAGGAGCGATATTAAAAAGTAAAATTTAACGACTCGACACTAAAATTGACAGCGGAAACGCGTTTGGGCGTAGGGGCTAGTTTAGAGTTGACGGTGAAGGACTCAAAAGTATGACAAACCGGGACCAAAGCAAGTTACAATTGCACTCTTACAAGTATTGTGCTTACCAGAAGACTGTTTCAACGTAAATACTTGCGTTTTTATTCTAATCTCATATCCTTGCTGGCAAATTTAAACAGTAGATGACCAGCAGGTAAGTACAATATGTAAAAGAATACGCCGCTGTTGTTCAACTTCGTTATCGGCATAAACCCAACATATGATGCTAGAGACAGTATGAAAAACGGGTAAGGAAATATATGGGAATATGCAACACCAGAGTTGCTTATTTACTAGTGAATAGCTTGGACAAGGTTCGAGACTCTCCTGATTGCACGATGGTTCTCCCAATTTTCAACGAATGTTGGTCTGAATTATGCGCGCGGCAACTTGCATAACAGGCATAGTGAGACCGTGTCTTCGCCGTCATAGTGGTTCACGGATCAACAGTCATGTCGCATTTCGAATGGAATAGATGTACTAACCTTAGGGCATTATGTTCAATAATTTTGGTTTTGTTCGCAGTATTCAGCAGGTCATATAGTACTCTAGTGCTAGGTAAACCACTATACAACTGTCTCATTCTATCATGGCAAGTCACTAGTGCGTATCCAACGGTTGCATTGGTAATCGAACTCATGACAACCAACGGCTTGAACTGCCATCCAGCAGCTTATGCTACTAAGCCATGGTGTCCCATGTGGCCTATTGGATTGCAAGCTAACTACGCTATTGCATGACACATCCATTACTGCCATGAACGATGCAGAGGACAGTGTTGGTCCTGGGGGACATTATTTCCACTAACAGCAGCTACGTGCGAGATGGCATTTAGAAGTTGATAATATGGATATTTTAATATACTCGTGAGTGGGGGGTTTGGATACTATTACTGGGCAATTTGTCGCAACAGCGTCCAACTAAGACGAGTTTTTACATGCCCGGAAAAGCGTTGTCTCCTATTGGAATTCGATGGCATTGCGTGCCTATCGGCTGTGTTAGAAACTTAATCCAAGATCACTAGTGGCTTACACCGAACGCTCCGTTTAGGATTTTGTGGCGCGCGGAGGACTGTATGATTTGGTAGCTACTGAGTGAAGACCCCACATTTTACATCAACATCGCCTCCACCAGCGTGTACTTTAGGTATTGATCTACACATGGAGACCCAAGTATGAAGAGGGTCAGAGAGCTGGCAGAGTGGAAAATATGGCGCTTAACGGGAGTCAGTAAAAGAACGGTCTGCTGAATTGCATTGATTCATACGTTTAATACATTAAACACTAACAATGATAAAAGATAAAAATTGCATCTGAAAAAGCAAATGCTGTTTCGTCTCATTTTTGAAACTTTATTTACTTTCCGTTTATTCCCATAGTATTTTCGGTGGCTACCTCTCTGTTAGTATCACATTATGTATGCTTTAGTCCAACAACTTTTGGGTCCACAGAGTGTAACCACAACAAAGGAAGAGCACTTGGATTCGCGACTGACATAAAACTCTCGATGTCGCCACTGTCGTAAACGCTCCCTGGCATAACGCTTACCTTTCTTCGCTCGATGGCTAGTGCCGCTTTTAACACAGTCAGGGAAAAATCAGAAGAAACACAACTTGGCCGACCGAGAACATATTTAGTTATTCATGATTATATTTATAAGGCAAAATATATGACATCACACTGACATTGTGGCTGTAAGTTTCCGCCCCCGTCCGTTTGATGTCTGCTGCTCTGGCGTCTTGCCTGACAGGTAGCCTCAGCCGAGCTTGAGGACTCCCTTGGTAGTTTGACGGTCGGAAAGTTTCTTCATATGTCTTAGCTCAGGAATCTTGGCACAGCTCACAAGGCGCCTACGCGCATGACTGGGAATTTGGTTCGCTCACCAATGTGGGTGAGACTTCACCGAGTTAGCCGACTTGGTCGTAGGCTCTTACCTAACGCCGAGAATGTGTATCCCAGCGCCAGGCAGTTTTGCCTCTCCAATAGCGACATTAATATGCTTTGCGCTTGGCACAAATGCCCTAATCCAAGGAAAGCATGGACCGAATAATTCTGTTAGTGGAAGTGACCAGTCTAGTTGCGCGAATGCACCCCGCCACCCACTGCAGTTGCGGTAGAGCAGTGGTTCCCAACCTGCGAGATAATTACCCCAAAGTGATAAAAGGGGAATTTACAATGATAAAGTTAAATACAAGGATTGGATCATTGCCTAGTCGTGAAGCGAAATTATTAACACATCATCTGTATCAAATGATCCAAGTAACCAATCACTAGTGCTCGATCAATATTGACAACATCAGTAATTTCTTATTAAATTAAACCATTGCAGATAATAAATGTTATTACCTAAAATACGAATACAAGCGTTCATCGTAATGTCGCTAGATGGTGGGTCTATCAGCTAGCCTGTCGATCGTTCTTGGTTGGCGTCAGGTAGTCGTTCGCCTCCCTACATTTGAGGTTGATGTTGACGATTTAGGTACTTTCTGAACGTAACATGAATTGGTGGAAATGTATGCCAATATTTCCTGATTTGAAAAGTCGCCAATTAAATGCATGGGTGCTAAGATGCTTTACAGTTGGTTAAAGAATATTTCCAGGTAATGAACTTGAATCCAAAGCACAACTCCTTGAACTACAAGATAATAACACACTGGAAATAGGTTTTGAAAACACACAACTGGCAACATTTTGGGCAATGATTGATTGCGATTTTCCACTAGTAATCTAAAACCACTGAAACAACTTATCCAGTTCGCTACAACTAAGGGGTGTGAAGGTGAATTCTTCACAGTGATTACTGTCATAAGGAAAGCAAAGAACTAATTTAACTTGCATTAAGTCTTACAATGCGCTTTAACCGAAACTGCACTAAACATTAAGGACATTGTTAAAACCAAGCAAAATCGACCGTCCCATTAACTTACATCACCACTTGACTTAACAAAAAAAGAAGTGTTTATTTTATGGTTGAAGCTCACTGAAAAAAATCACTTTCCCTAGTTAATGTCATTCGATAGCGAATAGTTGGTTTATTTTCCGAAAACGTATGGGGGTAGTTGTTTATATTAAACCCTCGCTAGAGTAACAGTCCCAAAAAGGTTGGGAATCACTGCCGTGGAGTGTATTCCGCTCACAATGACTTAAAGTATAATACATTATTAGTCGCAATGAGCTCAGTGATCGGTAGGGATAAATTTATCACGTAACCATGTGAGCACTGTTTATATAAATCCATCGATATTACGTGCGCTTGCTAGCCGATCAAATATTTGCCCTCTGCACAGAACAAATGAGTTGAGAGAGAAACACTGTGATTAATACGTGGTAGTCACCATAATTGGGTTCGATGTATTCGGTCTCAGATTTTTATCCCACACCGTGTTCGTACGGACTATAGTAACTCTAGGTCGCGGGATGCTGCGAATACCACTCTTTACCAACATATTTGTTACTATACACCTTTTCCCATACACTTGTTCCGTGTCACACCCAAAAAAGTATATTTGTGGCCGAGATAGTTTGGTCGTTGTCAAGAGCTGAAAATCATGGGGGTCGTATTCATTTTAAATCCTCTACTAACATCTGGAGTACAACGCACGCATCTCACCTCGCTTAGGGGATAGCGTTTCAACGCCGCCCACCTCAACTCAAACGATTGGCATTTCTTACATGTAAACCCCAGTATCACCATGAACACCCCCATTTCCCAGTAGGTTTCAGCGCCCAAAGACTTGATCGGCATCCTTACTGGTAGGTTGCCACGTGGTGGTTTTACTCCGGTACAACAGAATCAACTGCCTAGATGTCCAGTTTGCTTCCCTATATTCGGGCACCTTACCAAAGTGAAGAGCCCTGTTTGTAACTGGGTTGACACGTTTGTCCATAAAAGAGAATAAACCAAGTTAGCAACTAGGTGTCTAGTATCTATTTTACACTCATTTCCCTTGCCCTGCCTATCCTTCTCTCCCTCCTATACGCAGTCCGAAAGCGACGTTTGTATTGAAACAAAGGGCAAGGTAGCACAGGTGGTCGATATGTGCTTAATATTCAACCCGAGCAAGCCACTCACCCAGTTCGAGCAGTTTGAGTTGCGCAAATGCAGCTTCGCTTTGTACACATTGGATGGGTGGTGTCAGTCTAAGCATATAGAGGATTGAATTCAGTGCAAACCAATTGTGTGGTGATTTGTCTTCATACATTACTCGCCTCGCAAATTTGAGTTCCAAATCCTGTTACCTGTCAATGCGAGATCATTATCCCATTCAGTGTGATCATTTAGGTACGGAATAAAAAGCTCCTTTTATCACTCCAATCTGTCATGATGGGAAAACCCAGCGAGTTTCGCTTATTAGGCCTAAAGGAAAACTCACCAAAGCGAGAGGGTAGTGGAAGTATGTGGTCAGTGAAATTGAAAATTCAGTCAGACAACCATTGAAAGTACGGAAAAGCGCTGCGTGGCCGTTTCACCGTTTGTTGATCGCGAGCAGTAGGCTGTAAATAAGTTTGATGCTTACGTTTGCTAAGTTTGTCGCGCCATGTACCGACTACCCTCTCTGCTGCACAGTACTAACGTGCAAGTGTGTGAAATGTGAGCGGAGCTATATCATATGTAGTGACTTTGTCGCCTCGGTCGTTGCGGTCTCACGTAGCTCAGTGGGATTGACAACAAACTCTAAGTAACAGAGTTGTGAATTATAACCCGCCAAAAGTCAGCTGGAATGCACCTTGCTAAAAGTCCCCGAGTGGGTGACACGTCCGTCCACTGCTTTCCCAAACTACGACAACAGTATTACTGAGTCCAGACGTGAAGTATTTCAATTGGAACCAAAGACGTAGAAATCAAGTACCTCTGATACGCATAAGCAAATCAACGTAGCAGTTAGTGAGG